CTAAGATAGATATGGCAGACTGAAATAGATAGTTAGATAGATAGATATGAAAAGACTGAAATAGATAGATAGATAGATAGATAGATAGATATGAGAAGACTGAGATAGATAGATATGAGAAGAATGATATAGATAGATAGATAGATAGATATGAGAAGAATGAGATAGATAGATAGATAGATAGATAGATATGAGAAGAATGAGATAGATAGATAGATAGATATGAGAAGACTGAGATAGATAGATAGATAGATAGATAAGAGAAGAATGAGATAGATAGATATGAGAAGACTGAGATAGATAGATAGATAGATAGATATGAGAAGACTGAGATAGATAGATAGATAGATAGATAGATAAGAGAAGAATGAGATAGATAGATATGAGAAGACTGAGATAGATAGATAGATAGATATGAGAAGACTGATAGATAGATAGATAGATAGATAGATAGATAGATAGATAGATAGATAAGAGAAGAATGAGATAGATAGATATGAGAAGACTGAGATAGATAGATAGATAGATAGATAGATATGAGAAGACTGAGATAGATAGATAGATAGATAGATAGATAGATAGATAGATAGATAGATATGAGAAGACTGAGATAGATAGATAGATAGATAGATAGATAGATAGATATGAGAAGAATGAGATAGATAGATAGATAGATAGATAGATAGATAGATAGATATGAGAAGAATGAGATAGATAGATATGAGAAGACTGAAATAGATTATATATATATATATATATATATATATATATATATATATGAAAAGACTAGAGATAGATAGATAGATATGAAAGGATGAGATAGATAGATATGAGCAGAGATAGAGATAGCTAGACAGATAGATATGAGAAGACTGAGATAGATTATATATATATATATATGAAAAGACTGATATAGATAAATAAATTAGCTTCTCATTTCTGCATATTTCAGTCTAATCAAAGCAGATAGATAGACCAAGATAGATGGCCTTTAAATGATAGATAGATATATTCAGATCATTTGTGAATATCTATGCCGATGATACGACGATAAGTCGGTGCACATCCCAAAGTTATGGGACCAGAGATTTGTATTTGTGGTATTTGATTTTTTAAAATCATCAGATAGATTACTCGCCACTTCCCCCCCCAACGATGTGTTCCAAAGACTACAAGACCTTTTTCATCATTATATATATATATATGATTGTATATATATATATATATATAAATCTTATATTTGTCAAAAGACTGTTCAGTAGATAGATAGATCGAACATTTCTTGTATTCTTAATATGTGACGAAACTGCCCTCTTTTACTGGCACTGAGATAGATAGACAGGGAGAAAGTGTATATGTAGATATAAATTACGTCATTGGACAACGATAGAATAAATTGCACTGCAAAAAGAATGATCAAAGATTTATATATATATATAAAAAAACAGGCCTGTTGCAGTAAAAGTTATTGTTGTTGTTGTAAGATATAGATAAATTAAATTACGGTCCGTTTCATGAAAATGCAGGAAAGGAGAGTATAATCACCCAAAGAAATTGGTCACTCTTCCCCCAGATGGTCCTGTATGAGGGACCAACCCCCCCCATATATATTTATATATATATATATATATATATATATATATATATATATATATATATTCAGATCATTTAAAAATTGAATATCTATGATTTGATAAAACGTAACGTTAAATTTAAGAAATGACGTCTCCTGTTTTCATTAGTTTTGCAACATTCCCATTACATTACTATTGTTATTATTATTATTATGGGACCATGAGCTTTTGTATTTGTGGTATTTGATTTTTAAAATCACTTTTCAGAATATGGGATTTCTAGTAGGGCGACTTCAGGGCAACGATGGGTGTTTAAAATTGACTTACAAGACCAACACTATTGGTAGAGTCTTTTCCCATTCATTAATCTGATCTCCAGGTCCTTTTATTTGGAAAATTTTTCTGATAATTCTTATCAATGTTTTACAGATGTTGTAATGAATTTCTTGTCTTTTTATGATAATCTTCCTTTTATTTGTCAGTTTGAATTGGCATGTCCCAGGGATAGTTCTCATTATTTTCTTTCTGGTTTGGTCGAACAGTGGTTTTTTTTGTATTCTTGCATATCTCAACTGAAATATGTCGCTATTGTTTTTAGGGATATTCACTTTTTTGCTTGTTCCGGTGACCCTGAGATAATATGGTTGACATTTTCATCATATTTTTCTCAGGGCATTTCAGGATAGTATGTTTAATTTATGTTTAATTAGTATTCTGTTGCCGTTTAAATTCTATATGTCATTTTTTTTTTGGTACAGTAAAAACGTTTTTACGAATTCCTGTTAAATTGCATTCTGTTCTGTTTTGTATTCTGCTCTCTTCTGAAATTTTATATTTTTTTTATTAATGGTTACCTAAGCCAAACCAAAAACAGGCCATTGTTCACTATTCAATATATTCTGTTATTCCATATTCTGTTAATCATTCTGTTCTGTTTTGTATTCTCTTCTCTTCTGTATTTTCGATATTTTTTTTTTCTACTAATGGTTACCCAAAGAAGGTGTAAGAGCCTTTTTGATGAAACTCCTACCCCACATTTGTTTGCAAAAGTAATCTATTTCTGAAAACAAATATTGAATCATGTACAATTTCGAATTTAGATTTCTAAACTTTCGCTCATCAGATCTCACCACTAAGCTCCTGTATGCTAATCTGTTCTTTCCAAGTGATATTCAAACCTGGCTTATAGATTTTCCATTCACAGTAATGTCTCGAAGTAAATATTTGCTTTCTTTGCTCGAAGTAAGCATTTCGTCATGAAGATGTGTATCCGGTAACGTCCGCCAGTCTTTAAAATCCTATCTCTTCTCTCTCCTCCTCCTCCTCTTCGTTCCGTCTCACTGAGAAGTAGGGGGCCGAAGCCCTAAAAATACTAGATCTTGCTGCTGTGGTTTCCTTGGCAAGTAGGTTTTGTGCATGGCTTTTACTTACAGCACCCGCTGTTCCCATCTAAATATTGACCGGGCTAGGTATTGCTTAACTTCAATGATCAAGTGAGAAGGGCTGTTTCAGAATGTAAAGTAAAAGCGTATTTGATCGCAGTTAGCGTTTAGTCAAACATTCTAACCAATGAGATATAAGTGCTACTCCATTTTTTTTTATGACTGCCCCTTTAAAATGGAGACTCCGAGGCAAAATAGTTTTGTGATACAATTAATCATTCGCGGCTTGCCCGGCACTGACTATCCACAGCTCAGTTACATATTTATTTGACTTATCGGCACATTGGTCGAGTTGATAAAAGAGATGGTTGAAAATTAACTAAGGGACATCGTGCGGGTTTTGCATACAAAGGATCAATCAATGACTCAGTGACTTGCGCAAGTGATTAATAAAAAGAGAAATAGATGGTCAGATTGAGAAAGAAGTAGCTATTTACTAAATCTGAGCCTGACACAAGGCCACGCGAATACAAGCGCACACGGGGAAACTAATGGCTTGAGCAAGTATTCAAAAATAGAAAGCTGCGTAAGAGAAGAATGTGTTTTCTCACCGGATTTATCCAACCTCTATAGCGAGGTGATCTTCAAAGTAATAGGCGTCCTACCAGGATTTATCCAACCTATACAGCAAGGGGATCTTTAGAGAAGTAGGCGTTCTACAGGGAATTATCCAACCTATACAGCGAAAATATCTTTAGAGAAGTAGGCGTCCTACCAGGATTTATCTAACCTATACCGCAAGGGGATATTTAGAGAAATATGTGTCTTACCGGGGTGTATCGAACCTTTACAGCGAGGTGGTCTTTAGTGAAGTAGGCGTCCTACCGGGATTTGTCCAAACTATACAGCGAGGTGATCTTTAGAAAAGTAGGCGTCCTACCGGGATTTGTCCAGTCTATACAGCGAGGTGATCTTTAGAAAAGTAGGCGTCATACCAGGATTTGTCCAGCCTATACAGCGAGGTGATTTTTAGAGAAGTAGGCGTCCTACCGGGATTTGTCCAACCTATACAGCAAGGTGATCTTTAGAAAAGTAGGCGTCCTACCGGGATTTGTCCAGTCTATACAGCGAGGTGATTTTAGAAAAGTAGGCGTCATACCGGGATTTGTCCAGCCTATACAGCGAGGTGAAGGCGTCCTACAGGATCCAACCTATTTAGAAAAGTAGGCGTCCTACCGGGATTTGTCCAACCTATACAGCGAAGTGATCTTTATAAAAGTAGGCGTCCTACCGGGATTTGTCCAGCCTATACAGCGAGGTGATCTTTAGAAAAGTTGGCGTCCTACCGAGATTTGTCCAGCCTATAGAGCGAGGTGATTTTTATAGAAGTTGGCGTCCTACCGAGATTTGTCCAACCTATACAGCGAGGTGATCTTTAGAAAAGTAGGCGTCCTACCGGGATTTATCCAAACTATACAGCGAAGTGATCGTTAGAAAAGTAGGTTTCCTACCAGGATTTACTATTAGCCCGCACAATCTTAACTACAGTAGATACGCAGGTGACACCGGCTTGATTGAAGATACAGAAAAAAAACTGTAGGTACTTCTAGACAAGTTAATAAAGAATTGGACTAATTGTCAGTTGAGAATATGTTATTCATTAGCAAGAAGGGAAGCTCAGTAAGCGAGTTGTATATTGGAGGTGTTAAAATAAAGTAAAAATGTAAATGGCACAGGCAGTCGTACCCGAGGATATCACACTACCAGAACGGCTACGTCGTCTCCATTGCAGACGCCTGCTCAGGCACATATGTGTTTGTTCAATACCCACTGAGCCGACCAGTGATTTATAATGCAACTATGCTTAGCGGATATTAGTTACAGTTCAGCACGGTCAAACCCTCGGTCACGATGACTTGTGACTTCGTGCAAGCACAACCACCGACTGCTCCCAAGAGTTCCGTCTAAAATCAAGTAAGTACAGAAATTTAACTATCTGGGAAATGGTATACCGAAATCCGAATATGAATTGAAACAGGGTAAGATGCCTTCCAAAAACTAAAGAAAGTATTAAGAAACAAGAAATTAAGACTGATCAAGTGTTATGCAATATGAATCCTGCTTTATGGCAGACAAGGCTAAATAATTTTCCTCTCAGATGCAGGGGAGACCTGAAATAACAAAAATGTGTTTCTACAGAAGGTTGCTGGGAATACCATGGGCTGAACATGTGAGCAACGAGGAAGTTTTAAGCGAAATGGGAACAAAAAGACATTAACATTTAGAATCTGAAAAAAAGACAGTTGAAATCTTTGGGGTGCATAACGAGGAAAAAGGACAAGGTGAATTTGACACACACAAGAGATATTTAAAGCAGTGGGGACAGAGAATAGTAGTAATTAAAGTATCTAAAAGTTTTTTTTGTAAATGGGTGTCAGAAAATGGACCGGGAGGAGATAGTAAGGCGACAAACATTGCTGAAAGGAGAAATGCTGAAGTGATACAGCACAAAGAAGAAGAAGAAGAAGAAGAAGAAAAGAAAAAGGAGAAAAAGGAGGAGGAAGAAGAAGAAAGAGGGGATTAGGAGGATGAGGGCTAAGAAGAAGAAGAAGAAAAAGAAGAAGGGTGATTATTAGGAGGAGGATTAGAAGAAGAAGAAGAAGAAGAAGAAGAAGAAGAAGAAGAAGAAGAAGAAGAAGAAGAAAGATTATTAAGAGGAGGAGGAAGATTAGGAAGAAGAGGAAAAGAAAAATTAGAAAAAAGGAGGAGGAAGAAGAAAGAGGGGATTAGGAGGAGGAGGGTTAAGAAGAAGAAGAAGAAAAAGAAGTTATTAGAAGAAGAAGAAGAAGAAGAAGAAGAAGGATTATTAAGAGGAGGAGGAAGATTAGGAAGAAGAGGGAAAAATTGAGGAGGAGGTTAAGAAGAAGAAGAAAAAGAAGAAGGGGGATTATTAGGAGGATGATTAGAAGAAGAAGAAGTAAAAGAAGAAGAAAAAGAAGAAAAAGAAGGAGGAGGAGGGGAAGGAGTTTAGAAGGAGGATTAGAAGAAGAAGAAGAAGAAGAAGAAGAAGTGGGATTAGGAGGATTAGGTGGATTAGAACAAGAAGAAAAAGAAGCAGGGGGATTAGGAGAAGTAGGAGGTTTTCTTCTATTCTTCTAGATTATTGGCTCGACGTTGATGATCCCCTCAGCCATTTGAAGCCATGCATAATCTATTTCAGCATTTTATTTGAATTTAATTTTTTTCAGAAAAAAAAAAACCCAAAAACTTTCCTTATTCAGTTTGCCCATTTAGCGAACTGTATTCGATTGTCTAACATGTGAAAAATTATACAAAAATACTTTTTTAAAGTCAGTTTTTAAGCACAAATTTGAAATTTTTAAAATTCTAGTAACACAGATACTAGGTTGAACCTAATGTAAAGGACGAAGAATGGTGCATTGAGACGAGACAAATCTCAAAGATATTTTGATTCAAATCCTAAGTGTCATTCCTTACGTAAATAATCCATTAATTTTGACGGGTACTATGCTCACTCGAATATACTCACTGGGGTAGTTGGATTAAAGAAATCTGTCACACTGCCCAAAACAAAAGTCAAACAAAAGCAGAGCTCATAAGCGGATCGGTTGATTTTGATTACGCATCTTTGGTTCTGAAAACGTATACAAAGTTGACCAGCGAACCACGGGGAAGATCAACAGGGGAAACATTAAAGAGCGTTAGAAAGCGGAAAGAGGCGGACTCATATTTTAGCCAAGACGTCGTTAATTTATGTGTTCGACTTTTGACCAGCATATCATTCATGTTATGCTACGTGTATCAGTTGGCTTTTAATTCTGATTCCGATCATTTTAGTCCCAAAATACGTTATTTTATAATCTGACTTGATCATTGATATCCGCCACAGGGGACATCGAACCTTGGAGCAAACAATTATACCAAGTTTATATATCGATTATAAGATTAAGATGTGAATATATCGAAAGGGTTTTAAATGTTTTTTTTTTTTTGAATATCTATGTTTACTACGAAGCTGTATTTGAAAGGCTGTTCCACTAGAAACATTGTGTTTGCTCAAAACCTTCTTTTCATAATACTTCAAGGATAACATTTATCGTAAGTTTGTGTAATGATTTTTTAAAATAATAAAAAAGAATATAATTTCCGAGATCTTTATGTTAAATTTGCCATTGTGAAACTTTCGATTGATGTGACTTTTTAAGTTAAGAAAAAAATATGTCATATCATTCTGAATTGTAAGATACATTCTTTTTTTTTTAAATATCTTTTTAGACTTGGAACAAGATTTCCTCAAAATAAACATTACTCAGACAAATCTGACCTGACACAAGAGAAAAATTATTTAAAAACCTTTTAAGTAAAGTCAATTTTTTAAACATTAATTTCGTTTTATGTTTTCCGAGCTTTTAAAATTCATATGGCTCTGTATAGAGAAAACATTAAAGAAAAAAAAAACGTCATGTTAAAATTGCACCTCAGAATGCTATTAAATATAAAGTTTTACATTCAGATGAATTTTTTACAATGCCATTTTGTATCGGAAAAGATCAAGAATAATTTTTTGGAAAGTTAAAAACTTTGAGATGGATTTTTTCATCAGCATTTCAATTTATTTTAATAAATTGGATAAGCAAAAAAGTAAATAAAAACGTAATAAAATAAACAATGTATATATATATATATATATATATATATATTAATTCTGTTGCAATAAAAAGCACTGATTGATTACTCAGAAGACAGGGACACATGCTATACTGTTTTACAATCTTTCCTTTTGTCAGCAATAAAAATTTTAAAGCTATAAAATTATCAAAAATACATAAGGTTGCCGAAAAGTTCCGCCTCAAGGCAAAGAATTCTTCTGGATTCCCATTATGATCGCCCCCATAGATATGATGCGCTCGAAGACCAGTTTAAAATTTGCGCTAAAGAAAAGAAAAAAAAAACCCAAAAAACGATAAACTAAAACAAACTTGTAAACGCTAAAAATATGTATACGCTAAAACCTTGTAAACGTTAAAAACTTGTAAACACTAAAAATTGAAAAACGTTAAAAACTTCTAAACACTAAAAATTTGTAAACGCTAAAAAATGGAAACATTAAAACTAGTAAACACCAAGACACTGTAACCGTTAAAAACTTGTAAAAGCTAAAATCTTGTAAATGCTAAAAACTTATACACGTTAAAATCTTGTAAACACTAAAAACATGTATACGCTAAAACCTTGTAAACGTTAAAAGCTTTAAAACGATAAAAACTTGTAACCGTTAAAAACTTGTAAACGCTAAAAACATGTTAACGCTAAAAACATGTTAACGCTAAAAATAAGTAAACGTAAAAAACTTGTAAACGTTAAAACTTGTAAATGTTAAAACCTTGTAAACGCTAAAAACATGTATGCGCTAAAACTTTGTAAACGTTAAAAATTTGTACACGCTAAAAACGTATAAAGGCTAAAACCTTGTAAAAGTTAAAACTTTGTAAACGCTAAAAAGATGTATGCGCTAAAACTTTGTAAACGCTAAAACCTTGTAAACGCTATAAACATGTTTGCGCTAAAACTTTGTAAACGTTAAAAACTTGTAAACGCTAAAAACGTATAAAGGCTAAAACATATAAACGCTAAAATTTGGAATCGCTAAAAACTTGTAAACGCTAAAAGCATGTAGACATTAAAAACTTGTAAACCCTAAGAAATTTTAAACGTTAAAAACTTGTAACTTGTTAACTGTATTGATAAGTTAACCATTAATTTACGTCTTTTTTCTTCTTATTATAACGTTGTACTTAATTTATTCTAGATTTCTGGGATGTGTTCTGATATTACATTGGCTATTTCGAACCAGTTCTGCTACTGCTATTTAAAAAAATAATGCAAAAAGATGTTTCGGTTGTAGTATCTTTCTCATTTCCATAAGTTTCTGTTACATTCAGGAAGGTTCCGAAAATGTTGAACAAAACATTTTATATTTTATCTTTGAGGATATGCCGTTCTCAGTCCTAGACCGCTGTCATCTATAGGGGATTTTAGAACTCGTGACTGTCACTTTTTCCCTTATGATACCCCATCATTCTGTGTCGGTGTATATTCTTGCACGATCAGACCTGAAGAACCCTTTTGATCTGATTCCCTGCAGGTCGAAAGTTCAATCTCTGGATCCGGTCATGCGGGAATAGACGCCCGTTTAGTGAAGAGACAGAGTGGCACCGTCAATAAAAATTAATGGTTACGTGTTTCGGAAATCCTTAGGAAGTGAAGCGGACGTGACATACACAGAAAAGAAAACATATCCTCTGATGGATCAAATAAAACGATTCTGTTCGACATTCACAGTAAACGACTGAATACAACTGACATATGAGCGAAGCTGGAAGTTACAATGTTGTGATAAAAGCAAGGAAGGTGACCCGAAAGAATGGTTGGATTATCGAATATTTTTTTAGGTAAGGATTGAAATCAAGAACAGGCACGAAAGCCGGAATAAAAGTAGAAGTTAGTATGTATCAAAATCTTTTGCAGATATTCCTCCAAAGTATATTTTATTTATGCATCTAAAGACTATATATATATATATATATATATATATATATATATATATATATATATATATATATATATATATATATTATAAATTAATTGATTTAAAATATGGTTTTTTTTCGCTACACAGTTCCATCTATTCAAAAATAGAAGCTAAAACCCCTGAATTTAATTTTGCAATTAAATTAAAAGCATTAGTTCCATTTCATCTTCAAGCGAATTTTGGAGTAACTTTTAAAAATTACCGGGTTTTAAAGACACAGCTAAAATCACGTTTCCATGGTTACAGAATATTCTACTTAAATTGAACAAGGGATGTCTAGATTTTCCTCATTGTATCAGTTATAACACCGGATTTTATATCTTACTGTTCTTTCTTTTTATTTATATACATATATATATATATATATAAATAATGGGTATTCCAATAACTTGGACCGATTTTAAATGTGAATTAAGTTTAAGCGTCTAATGATTTTTTTTTATCTTTTTCTTTCAAATTTGGTTAAAATTTGGGTGACATTATTTTTCTCACATAATTGCCATGACTTAAATAGCATGGATGTCAGTTATCAGTCATCCATTAAAAAACATGGCACGCGTAACTAGAACAGTCTACCCTACTGAGCGAAATAAAGGGTTCAGTTCGACATTCCAACCACCTGAAGAAGGTCGGAGCGTACAACGGCCGAAACGTTGTAATAAATATGGCGACAAAGATAAGGACAATAGTCCGAATAATGTAAATAATGTACATAATACCTCATCTCAGAAATATAGATAGAATACTTATTTGTAGTAAAGTTATCAAAATTAAATTTTATCTGTAGTTAAATGCATACAAATGTGTTAAGAAATATTTAGATTTGGGAATTAAATAACCCGTAAAGGTTGATATACCGTTAAATAAAATCAACCAAAAATTTAAATGCAGTGTCAATCGCTATCTACTGTTCTCCTGATTACTCTTTCTTCTTCCCGCTCATTATTTATGTTTCTGCTCCTAATTATTTTACACCCTGTAACCCCTTGTGTCTTAGTGGCTTTATTGCCTTGCATGGGGTGATACCGAAAAAAAAAAGATCTGCTCGACTTCTGTCCTTGTCTTACGCGGCGTGGCTACCCTCTGCCTTTTCTACAATTATTTTCTTGGCAACTGCTCTGACGAGATTTCCCCCCGGTGATTCGACTAGATGAATTTAAGCGTGCTACTAGATTGGCAACTAGGTCCCACCCGTTTACTGCTGAAATAGCTAAATACAACCGTTCTTTTGACATAGTTTCTTTTCTCATCCCTTCCAGACATTGGAACACCCTTCCGTTTACTTGCTTCCGCGATCACCTCAGTCTACAAAAATTTAAATGCAACGTCAATCAACATCTTCTGTCTTATTGAATCCCATTCATTTTTTGTGTTTTCTCTCTCTTTCACTCTCAGTAATCCACTAGGTGACATTCTCCCGTCTAGCTTGGTCTGAAAAGCTAAAAGCTAAAAAACAAATACAAAAACAACAAAAGAACGACCAACATGAAACTGCCGCCAACACAGAGAAATGAGAAAAAAAAAAAAAAAAAGATAATGCTACCCCCACCTCAAAAAATGGTTATTCATTATATTGCAGATTAATATGCTTGGCTCCAATATTTTGAGATTCATAAAGAACAGATTTTGCGTGAAAAAAATTTAAATTCTCGCACTGGAGCCGGTTGAGACTTTCGTGGACCGACATGAATCGACGATTCCCTGTGTTTGTACTCTTAAAAGAGGTGATAATTGGAGAACGGTTAATGTGTTTTCAATTCCAGAGTCTTGGTTCTGTGATGTCTGTACAAATAAAGAACTTGATTTTAAAGATGCATACATTCAAGCAGTCAGCAGTTTAACGCCGAGAGAGTCAATAAAGAATGGCGGCTGAGGCGACCGTAGAATCATTTCCCGCGTCTATGACTCAGAGGAATATTACCCGCAATTGTTTCTTTTGTGTTCATAGGTAGTTCGCTGGTGTTTGTTTTCAGCCAATAATAATGTCGGAAAATGCAATCAGACTAAGAAAGAAATGTTGGATGTTAACAAAGGTGGTTTCTTAATTGCAATCCCCTCCTTCGTACATTACGCTCTCTACTCATTGAAGGAAAAGAAAGGAAAGAAAAATAAATAAAATGAAGATAAAAATTTGTCCTTTCTAAAACGGGAAAGATAAATGAATCGTTTTGTGCGGCTAATTAAGTTCCCTGAA